TGTTGTTGTTGTTGTTTTTCTTCTTCTTCTTCTTCTTCTTCTTCTTCTTCTTCTTCTTCTTCTTCTTCTTCTTCTTCTTCTTCTTCACTGTTGTAGACCTCATTCTCCTCCCTCTCTCCCTTCTTCCATTGTTCCTTGTCTCCCTCCTCATCCTCCTCCTCCTCCTACTCAGATTGTATTGACATACCCATGTCTGGCTTTGAACTCGGTACAATGCACCACTATGTTCTTCATGAGTCAGTGTTCGTCCTCCACCTCCAAACTTCCTTCTCTTAACTGCATAGCATGTCCCCCTTCATATTATTATTCTTTCTTACACTTTTTACACCCCATCCTTTCCCACCCCCCTCCCTACCCCCGCCAGGCCTCAACTCTACCTTACCCCAGCCCCGTCCCCACTCCACTTCATTCCTTTGTCCTGATTTCTCGGAGTCTGCCCGGTCTCCCTACCTAGCTGGACTACCTGGCAGAACCTGCATCCTCACCGGTCTCTCATCGTCTCGTCCAACAGGGTTCACGCAGCTAAATACCAAAACGTTTAATGACAAACTAGAGCAAAACCTATAGCCGTACTACTTTTCGTTACCTTAAGAAACACATAGTTCTTTCTGACATGTTTGGCCATATGAGTAACAAAGACCATGTGGTCAAAAATCAAAATTTGATTTAATGTTCTGTCTATCAAAATCATAAGATCATTCGCAGTCGTTACAAAAGTATTCAAAGAATTGCTTTCGAAAAAGTTTGACATGTTATGAAACTCAAAATTATGTGCATCAAATTTCTCAAAACCAGGTACTGAGCAGGTAAAACTTTGTAATTCTGGAGTGACGAGTTGACTGGCTCCACTGTACTTGAAATGGCTCCAGCACATTTTGAAATTGCGACTTTATCGTTCACTTTCCTGGCTTTTCAAATATCCAAAGCTTCGGTTAAATACCTATAATTTTTTGGATGTCGTTCGCCACTCAGACCGCGATGACGTTGGTCCATGAAAAACATAGGAAAAGCAGCCTGTCTTCAAAATGTGATCCAGAAGTAGCCATAAATGTTGATGGCACGACAGGTACAATTTATAATTTCCATTTCCAGGCTTTACGACCAGAAAAGCTTTGCATCCAACATTTGAAAGGCTTATCAAATACTTTTTATTTGATTCATGATCTGTTCGCTGTTTTAGACACCTCCCTCCCCCACGAAAAAAAAGATATAAATAAACAAAAATAAATTGAGGTAAAGTCAAATCATTAGTAGTACAGCTCATTTGTGAAAAAAAAAATAGATGAAAAAAGATAGATACGATATTTAGTTAATCTTTATTTTTCAGGCATTTGGCAAATTGGTGTAGTAATTCACCGAATTGAAACAAACACACACACACACACAAACACACACACACACACACACACACACACACACACACACACACACACACACACGCACCCTCTCTCTTGCACACAACCTCACATGTATACACATAAATAATATGCTTACCCTCATTAACAGATCCCCAGCTACATAAATGAACAATAGTAAATAATGATAATAATTAACTATTTAGTATACTTATAGTATTCAAATG